TCGCAGTCAAAGAAATTGTATTTATTTTTATTTCTCGTCGTGTGTAATTTAAAATCTCGCCGGCTTTGGTGTGCCACGCACGCCTTACGCACACACCGTACGCTCAATATTTGCCAATGAAATGACGTGAAACTCATAGGATTCGACATTTCTCCCAACGACACATATATTATTATTTCGTATGCTCGTGAAACACATTTTTTTTTTTTTGTCAACTACCCCCCCGAGTGTGGTTTTATCCCGACATATCTATCTAACCGATTGCGAGTATCGATGGTGCACAGCTCTTTTATAATACTTATGCATTGCCCAATACTTACACGAACTGCATTTGTACATCAAAATAGGTACGAAATTACTATACTCTACAGTCTACGTTGTCTTATTTTACTTAAGAAATCTCGCATGACTTACAAAATATATAACTTTTTTTGTACACTACGACTCACAAATGTGGTTTTTATTCAGTCATATCAATCTAAGCGATTTTGTGGATCTATATAAATGTGTAGCCCTATGCATTATGCCAATACACTACATTATAAATTAATAAATTCTCAAGTCATTACACTCTACGTGGTATTAGCCACTTATAAAACTAACAAACGTGCTTTGTGTAAAGGACAAAATCGATGGATAAAACAGAAACTGTACGTCTGTACCTACTGCAGCAATTATATCACAGCGAGGGATGAAAAATAAATGAAATGGTACACAATAATAAGCATTGTAGTATTTCTTTCCATAAGGTTTTCCCTCAAGAAACATGTAGCAACTGTGTATAGATAAGTTTTTAAGGCTTTAAATCCATCCGATATCATTAATCATAGCTAGGTTGGTACCGTTTTAAAATAATGTAGACATCCTCTTCACCGCAGTTATAATATATTTTAAAATATTTGATTTTTGAGTAGGTATAGGTACGTACGTAATAATTATGGGACACAATGATCAAGCATCGAGTGTGTGACATTTTTGTTTACGATGTTTGTAGAAACGTTTTTAATGTTTACGATACTCAACACGTATTGAACGTAATAATATAATATTAAACATGTCTATCGAATATCGACTTTCAAATATTATAGTTTATTACACGAAAATTAAAATGGATAACAATTTTAACTGTACTAAAAATAGAACAAACAATAAACGTGTTAATATTAAAAACGTTATCATTCTGAATTTTGAATAAACATTTTACATGAATTTTCAATTAATATAATTTATTATGTTTTCATTCATTAGTACATGAGCGTATACATTTTTTTATTGGTCAGAAAAATGATACCCACGTTACAATCAAAATATTGTTATATTATTCGAAAACCCGTAAATATGACACCGTAAAATTAACCACTTTCTAGATTCAACTTAAATCGTATAAATAAAAACGTTCTCTACCAATTATTGAGTAAAAAAAGTGTGTTAACAATATAACATAAAAATTAAAATGTCGTATGTCAATAGTTTTATTGATAACATGATATCGTATAATATGTGTGTATACTGTATACGGTAATACTAATGCACTTTACAACCACTGAACCACGTCATATAGGTACAGTAGCCTATAGGATATAATATAGAGCTCAGTTTTGGACAAAAGTCCACAGAAATTATCTCCCCCGAGAACATAAACAACCCCTTTGTGTCAAGATGTCACATAATATTATGTGGCATAATACGTAATAATATTTAATCTAATAATACGGTCTGTCAACGTAAGCCGAAGCAAATGGTCTTGGTTTTTAAGAATGTTACATACTGCGGGGATAGAGCTTATAGTTTTAACAATATCATTTTTATATTATTTCCGAACCGGACGAAAGGAGTTTTTTTGAAATACAACTACTATGGATTTTTGTACGATGAATGCAGTGCAAGATAAAAAAAATTATTTCAAGTTAATGTGGATAAAATGGTCGTATGCATGACGATGACACTTTAAATCAAGAAAACTTGTACCAGGAACATCAAATATTCAAACATATTACTAATAAGCCAAGTATTGCCCAAACAGAATATTTAACCTGTCAAATCTTATTTCATATGAAAAATTTATTTCAGTTTTATATCAAGAAACAGTATTCTTTGTATTTTGTAACTTGTATAATGCCTAATAAAGTACTGCAGTACAACGGAAGCGGCTAAGTAAGCATTAAAGCCAGTGGATCCCACCAAAAGGACTACCTACTCACAAAGAATTAAATTATACGTCGACTTCTTTTTTTTTCATGTTTCAAGTCTTTCATAAAAGTTCCCAAAAACCTCTAAAGTTAAGGTCAGAAGCTCACGTCCAACATATTTCGCAAACTTAATCTAGAAAATTGGATCACTTTATATTATAACAAGAGTGGTTTTTTTTTTACTGCGGAAAAACGATTAGAAATAAAAACTAATTTAGAACGATTATACATAATGTGTATTATATCTAATTTAAATCGATATTTGAAAAGATGAATTTTATTAAATTACAGTAAAATAAAAAGATAATTAATTTAAGAAAATTAAAAATAAAATAGTAATTATTTTAATTCAATTTAATAATATACTGAAACTTTTTAATTATTTATCTAGAGTTTTTTCTTCTACTTTTTTTTTAAACTTATAACCGTTCATTGTAAAGTAAATTATATTTTTATAATTGGTTTACAGTTTTTATAGGTTTTACGTGATAATATTTAACAGAATTATTGTATTTTAATTGTATTAACTGTCTAAACCGTTATGGATCAATTAAATATCATCGATTTAACAGTTTAAATATCTATCCTAATATGATGATAAGATTTTACACAAAATACATTTTTTGTCAATACACATCAGAATTAAACTTCACTTCGAATTCGTTTCAAGTTAATCACATCAACTGATGTCTTCATATACGCGTATGAGCCTGCCGTGTAGCCGGAATACGCATATATAATCTACATTCGTCGAACAGAAAAACCTGACACATGTAATCAACCAAATATGCAATAACTCCACAAGTTTATTCTTATCAATTTCTTTTCTCATTTAGATATTGTGTAATTAAATTTAAAAAATATATATATATAATGTTGTTTGTAACAAAAGTTATTATTACTTAGTTAGTTACTTAGATACATTTGTCAGCTTGTTCTGCTATATGTACCCTGTATAATTAAATTCTGTTTTGACTGAATATACAAAATTGTACAAACCATAACTTTACCGTCGGGTTACTGTAAAAATAAAAACCACAAACATCGATACTTTGCAGTGATCCGTGAAAAAAAATAAGCAAAAACGCGCTACAGCCACGGCTAGATTTTTGGAAAAGAGGAAACGATTGTTTTTCTAAATAAAACTTTGACATAATAATATATCATTGTTTGTACACTTTATACCGCACAGTTATTTAAGTTTTTCAAGTGACCTATTGTGAATCATTATATTTAATGTGAGTCCTTGTGTAAACAGATAAAAAAATAAAGACAAACAGTGATTTCCCAATGATGTCGATCATATATAGAAAATGTTTTCTCGTGCAATGCGTTTCCGGGGAAGAAACTCCGGTGGAAAACCTCTACACCGGGAAAATGTTTTATCTCAAACATCTTTTATTCATATGATTATTTCAGATAGTCTTTTTTCCTACTATGCCCATCACCATTCCATCGTATATGTATACGCCGTTTCCTTTCTATATTTCAGAAACCTTCACCACACGGTATACATACGCGAAAACGACGACCCAATCAAATTAGGAAAACCCCATTTATACATACGTATGTATATTATTATATATGATATAAATGAACACAATATGATGTATGATTGTGTGCATACAACAATAATAATATGCATCTGACATTGAAATTAATTTAATGTTACCAATACTGGTGTTGTTATTTTTTTTTTTTACTTAATTCCACACAAAAATATAACATACAGTCCCAATCATTCTCTTCCGGTCAAACACATATTATTATTATTATAACACAAGTTTTAATATTATACTCGTATACAAAGTCATTAACTACAATAAAGGGTGTAAACGCAACAGTCGCCAAATTGAGCTCCACAGGTACGCATTCGTAGCTGCTGTTCGTGCAAATAAAAGAGAGAGGTCCTTGAAGTTCCACTTATAGTCGACATTTTTCATTTCAAGCCTATAAGTCTGAATCGGTAATTTGTAACCTCAGCTGTTTCCAATTATCTACATAAAGTAGTTTTATCAAAAATAAAATATGCAGTGGCTTACATAGTTGCATTACACGAGTAATAAAATGTTTGTTTAAAATGGCAAGCCAATGAAATAAATAGTTTAATCCTCAATTCTATTTGGTTAAAATAAATAAACACAAGCTAAACTAATTTGTTTCTAGATTATTTACTATGCAAAAAAAATAAATATTTTATTATTTATTACTTAGTTCTACTATTTTAATCCTGTTTCCTTTTATGAAAGACTTTTTATTTATTCGAAAATAGCCCTTAGAAATAAATAAGCTAAATACAATTACATTACAAAAAAAAATAATGGATTACCTATCAATAGTATTATACAGTCACAATTGAGTTGAAAAATTGTGCAAATTTGTAACGTATATCAACAAAATGTATAAATAAATAATAACAAACTTCTTAACGGAATAAAGTATTGACATTTAAAATCCGCACTATAACCACGGATTGCGTCAAATTTAATATTCAAATTTAAGTAGAACCTATTGTAGCAACATTATTTATAAAACGTCATTTTCGATAACTCATACTAAATGATAAAATATTATATAAAAATTAAAAATCTTTTTTTCTGATAATACTAAATAATTTAATATGTATAATTAACACTATAAAATATGCTATCATTACTTCAACATATAAAAATATAAAGCTCAAATCTTATAATATTAAGCCGTCGTATTCAGTAGTTTACGTAATGTACTAAATTGTATAATATAGGTATTTAATCCCGCTAGTCGAATAAACATAATATTATATTAATCGTAAGAATAAAAATATTTTACCTGGTGTCGACCCCGTTGATTTATATTTTTTTGCAATTATAATATTCTTGTCAATTTAATAATGAGATTGGCTAGGTATGTGATTTTGAAATCTATAACACAAAGAAACCAATAATTATGAACACAAAGTATAATATTTTAATTTATAATAAGGTACAAACATTTTGTTTAAATTGTACATGAAAATATTGAAACTTCGAAATATTTGTTTAAATTTATATCTTGTTTAATTGCAATACGGAGAAAAAACCGAGTATTTCCTGAATCCTATTCGATCTCCCTCGAGCCCCATACATTTTTCCACAACTATTTTGCATGCGCTCAAGCTAAAATTAAAATTGTTTTCAATGATCGGGTCGGAAAATTATTCCTCCTCGATGGGTTTAGGGACCTGTCTAAAAAGAGGAAAAAAGAAATAAGGCATTTTTCGTATTGGAAATGAGAGGGATGTGCACTAGCATATTAATTTAATAATAATAAACACTGTGAATTATAATATTACCTGTAGTCGAGAGTGGAAAGTGCAGTTTATAACTGGTGCAAGTGCAAGAGAGGTGACCCAAAGCGGCGAGCGATCGCCGACGGAGATGATGATCACGATGTGATGTGAAACATTTGGCCGGTGACATGCGATCGTCGATATCGGAAAAAACGAGTCGGCGATCGAGTGCGTTGGACGTAGTGACTTGTGAAATCGGCCTCGGTCTCGGGAGACTTGGTCGTCGGTCGGTCAGAACAGACGAAGTAGTACGTGCGTTGTGGTGCGATGCGCGGACGCGAGTGTCGACGTTCTGTGGTCGTCGGACGGCGGTCGGGAAAAAGCTCCTCCGGACGGCGGCGGCGGTTCGCCGACAGAGCCCTGCGTGGCGACTGCGAGAGGCACGCGCATAATGATATTACGTATATAATATAATGCGCCGCCGCCGTCGTTGGCGCGCATGCCGGTACACGTGACCCTCGCGACCCTTGTCGACAGCCTTTGCCCACCTTCTTCGTCGTCTTCTTCTTCTCTCCTTCTTCTTCTTCTCCTCCTCTTCTTCTCCTTATCGCCCCTCGTCCTTATCGCGCCCCCGAGCCTAATGAAAGTGTAATATTGTGTGCCGGACGGAAAACCGACGAAATAATTAACCTGTTATACGCGCCGCCCGCCACCACCGACTCGGTCGAAAATTGTCAGACCTATTTGTACACCTGTTTATAATGCAATGTGATGATACAACGTTTTTCGTTTAAAAGTCGTCCGAACGAAATCCCCTACAACGTAGTTAAACGTCTAAAACGTCAAAAATCTAAAACAAATTATTATTAACCATGATAAATTATAAGTAATCGACTTTCATACGAAATGGGCAACCCGCATTGTCGTCCATGTTAAGGCAATAGCTCAACCCCCCTCCCCCGTGCCCACTAAAAAGTGGTCGTTCCAGTTCGATCTACGACTGTATTTTCTGCTCGAATGTTACGAGGTCAAAAACGGTCAACGACGCGAACAACATAGAATTGGGCAAAACGTAAATAAAAAATTATTTGACAAAACACGAAATGAACAATCAAAACGATGTTCGAAAATTCTGGCCACAACGATTGCAAAAAAATTGTGTGTTCAAATCATACACGCGTAACCCACGAGAACGATTCTACAGTATTTTTTAATATATTGTCTCTAAAATCTCAATCAAACAGAAAAATTTGTAGAAAGAAACGGAACTTGCGCTCAGTGATTATGACCTTTTCACACTAACTCAAAAAGTTTTTTAGGGGGATAACATTTTTCTGACGATAAAGAGATAAAAGAGATATTGTTAGTAGAAAAGTGGTGGAAACAGAGGTATAGTGTGAGTTGTTCGACACTGGTTAGTGGTTACAAAAGCTGTGCCACGTCTACGAATTTGCACGGCCATTATGCATAAAAATAACTATATACCGGCCGAGATTATATCTCCACATTGATTCATTTTTTAGTTTTTTCAAAAAATGTTGTAACTCTATTTTCTGGACGACCCTCTTATTATATTATTGAGTGTACTCCTCTAACACTTCGATAATATCATAATATATAGTAACATGACGTGTAATACATATTATTACATAAATTATATTGTATAGCAATGTTTTCGTTGTACGAACTCGTATTTTCGGTCACATGTGAGCTGCGATACGTATATATACGTTATATATTATATTAATAATAATAATAATAATAATAATATAAGTCCCTTGTTTGCGGCTTGGGACACGTTTCGCGTCTTATACCGATCTTTTCTGTTGGCACTGCCTTCGCCGCCTATACACCGGTACACTTCCCCGCTGTACCCTCCGTTGCTTATACCATCACTAGGGCACACTACAGCAGCGTATAATATAATATCGTACACTTTGACATATTTCCAAACGGACCACTTCAAAGGTGAGAGAGACGAAAGAGAGAGAGAGAGAGAGAGGAGAGTGTGGGAAGCAGGGGAGAGACAGCGAGAGAGAGAGAGTAGGCGGGGGAGGTGAGAGAAGGGGAAAAAAGCTCAGACAATATATACATAAAATAATATGGCCGCAGCCAGTGGCATTGCAGGGCTTTATGTTATTGGTTATATAATACACATGTATTATACATGTATGTATAATATTAAATATATACTTCTGGAGAGAAAAAAGTAATTTCCTTTGCACTGCGCTGCGACAGCCGCCGGGCCAATTTCCACACAAAACTCGACGCGCGCGAAATAGCTGCCGACAAGCATTTGTCCGGTTTCTGCAAGTATACACAATAATAATAATAATAATAATAATAATAATAATAATAATAATATATAATAACGATGGCATTGTTGTTCTGACGCAAACGGTTACGAGCGACCGAGATCTCGTAAGTCTTCTCGCCTCAACCGCCGCCCCGCCGGGGGAGGTGCCACGGCTGCTTTGGTTTAATAATTGTACATATTTTATTGTAAGTATAAATATACATAGCTACCCACGCGCGTTTCTCAAACATCCACTGTTGAACATTTCATATATTTATAGAATATAATTATATGTATACAAGTTATTCCACACGTGATTTTGAAAAAAAAAAATAACAATTGGATTTTATTAAGCACTATTATTATACTTGCCTGATTTTTGCTCGTTTTTTAGTCTATGTATATTATTTTTTCAAATTTCAATCAACTATAATTTTTATTTCATAATCGCAAACTGTTCCAATCACCAAACAAAGTACTTTTTTTTATTTATTTTGGAAGGAAAATTCAGTAGTCACACGATGGCTGTACCTAATAATTGTTAGAAAATGTTAATAAGGCGAGTCGCAGTATTATTGAACTGTTTTGAGCAGAGATGTTGAAAAAAATTTATTTAATATTTTAGTATAATTATCATATGAAATTGGTGCCTATACCTAAGTTAAGTATAAATTAGCCATCTCTAATTTTAAGTTACAGAAACAATAATATATTACACTGAATGATTATTTTCAAATTATCGCTGTAACCAGCAAAATGTTGACTTTCATCATCTTAACTTTAAATACTTGTAAGTTACAATATTTATAACTATAATTGACTGCTACTTTGAAATTAAAGTTGTATGTACCTATTGAAATTACCAAAAAAATATTCTGTTTAAGAATATGAAATTAAAAATGCATGCTGTTATAATTCAAAAATGGCTAAAATAAAAAAAATAACTATAAATTAAAGTAATCAGCAATGTAAATTTGTATTCAAAAATATTGTTAATTATTAAATATTAAACGTTTCGATAAAAGAAGACGTGTTTAAGTGCCTCTATGCTCTGTATAATAATCACTTCGTCTAATATTTTAATAAGACAAAACAATCAATACAAATAAGAATTTGCCGAGTTCGTAACATTCGTCCCTAAGCACTAACTCACGATAATTTAATTTTAATAGTACCCAATCTATTTTTATATCCGCACGGCAATATATTTGTATTATATCCTCTTCAAATGTGTGCACGTAACGCCGTAGTAGTTGTTCTTTTCACAGTAGGAATCTAAAATAATAAACGAAACGTCCTGGAACGTTATTTTAGATTCTTTTTCAGCAACGTAGAGAAGCGAATGTATTGGCTTTTATAATTAGTTTTTCCTGTGGACACATTTTCCGGTCTCTGTATCCTGTCCGACTTTTTTTTTTTTTTTGTTAATATAGATTTATTTACGCGTGCCGCGTTCCTATATTATATATTATATTAATGTCGTATCGGTTCGCCGCCGACCAGAGGAGCTGACGTTTTTTTTTTGTCACCGATACCGCTACGTCTGTTTTAATCGCACGTAATAATTTAGGCAAGTCGAGTCTCCTAGTTTTGTAAAAAATAATAATGATTACATTCGGGGGTGTATCACATTGCGACTTCAAGACCGAGTTGCTGCTCTAAACGATCACGGAAATTTCATTGAAAACTTTTTGACGGAAGGGAAAATTATTGAACTATTACCAGAGTCGCCTATTCTTTTCAGGGCAGGTAGTAATAAGTAATTACCATTTAAGTCTAAATAATAATTGAATATAATTAAATATTATGTATGTTGTTGAGGGTGTAAAATTATTAGTAATATTTGTTGAAATATCATTTTTGTGAATTAGTTTATAATGTATTTTAATATTATTATTTAATATTATAATTCTTCGATGCAATAAATTATTGTTGATGAAGAGGATAAATATCCTCAATTTTAGTAACGTATTTTAATGTTTAACTTTCAAACTTTTTACTGAAGTTGTTTATCTTTTTTACTCAATCCTTAATATGAGTTTCGACAATTTTTTTTTATAGATGTTTACTCTTTAATTTTGGTATTGGCGTAAAATCGTCAATTTGAAAAATAATATTTAAGTTTAAAATATGTCTTATTTGCTTATTTAATTAATTAAATGGAACTTATTGGCTATTGCAGGGAATATAAAATGTATTAGAAAGTTTCAAACTTAAACATATAATCAGGAAGTCAATTAAGAAATCAGTTATGAATAAATTGTATTTGAATTTTGCAATTTTCTCCGAAATATAAATGGGAGGCGGTGATTAATAATAAAAATAAGTTCTACTTTTTAATGTCATATTCAAAATGACATAGTTTTTTAAACTTGTTTTGGTTAGAACATGTTAAGCTACTTATTTTTGTCACTGACTCTGCAATATTTGTGAAAAATAATTATTATACTTAACATTGACCTAACTAAACAAATTGTTTAAGACTTACTTTTTCCAGTGGTCTTCTTTATCAATCTTGGAGAAGGTGATTTGGTCTTAATATAAGTGTGATCTCAGGATGGTTATTTTTTTCACTTATAAAGAATCAAAATGTTAAATACTAGGTAGACTGAAGTTTCTCTCAACAACTTCCTATAGATTGGTAAACACCATTATTTTGTAAAATGTTAATTATACACTTTGCTATAACGAGAGGCAGTACAGTTTTTTCTTTGTATATAATTTTAACACACATTTCCCTTTTTATCTCATCAGAGTGAAATCTATTTTGTACACATTATTATGTTAATATCTATTTTTATTTATTTGATAAATATTTAAGGGACATTTTGAGGTTTAGACATACATCTATTGTTAATGATTATTGATTAATATTCCATTTTTAATTTCTATAAAATTCAATTTTAATAGGCTTTTAGCTGTATAGTTACTATTACGCCTAGAACATTTTTCAACTCGACATGTCATAAGAATTTAAAAAAATAGAATCTACGCATAGTGATTTGTAATTGATATATAAATATTTAATATAATACTATATTATATATACTAAACAATACATATTATAAACAACATTAAATACGTATGTAT